AATCATTTTAAAAATACTACAACTACCCACAGAATGATTCATTGTCTTAGAAAACACTTTTTTTTCATTATTTATGCCTTGATCATGAATTTCTTTAATATTCTTTCTTCCATCTTTATTTTTAAAATAATTGTCACTTATAGATGGACCTTTCAAATGCCATTTTCTCTGGGATGAATCCCTCTGCCACTTCAAGAAGCAAGAGAACTGTTTTAGTCATTAGCTTATCATGCATTGAAATTTCTCCCATAGCTTATATTCCTTTAAAATTTACATGAGTTGTTTATAAACACTCAGCTAGTATATTATTCCACAAGCATCCTGTGGGAAGGTTTTCTTAAATTTTCTGATATATTATTGGTATGTTATTAATATTTGGCCCAGATTCAGCTACAGATGATTTCAAATCTTTGTTCAATGTGAAGCAGTAAGGTTATGTCCATGTCAGACTGAATTTTAGGAATAACAGTGTCTTTATTGATTATGCTGGGGTCCGAACATACTTCTGCGACCCTTACAGATCAGAAACACACCCAGCCCCATTCTTTGTTCTGTTTTGGCTTATATGCCTTTCCTAGTTTCCAGGGCAACCATGATAGAATGCTATGGTTGCTGCTGTAGGACTTCACAGTCTGTCACCATTGCAGGTTATAGGCCGATGGCAGAAATTTATGGGAGCATATGATTTAACTCTACTTATTTTAATTAGTTCAGCTTTTTCCCTTATCTCTTTCATGTTTGCATGTCTTAATAAATCTGCAGAAGGAGTGAAGGATAGGAACAAACTAGGTAGGTTCATATAGGGTTGACTTGACCCAGGTGTCCCCCATCTCTAAATCATTCTTGTCGTTGTCACACAAAGTTGATTCTGCTTTGGTACTTCCTATCTCTAAGGTGAATTGGATACTAAACTAGAGCTTCTTTGGCTTAGGATAAAATTAACCCCTTGAGTGCCGCCACCCCTTACAAACATAGTCAAATGTGTTAGTGCACCACTGAGAGGACAAAATATAGCTCCATACCTGTTTGTTAGCTGTCTAATGTGCTGAATTCATGTTCTCACAATTTCACAGAATATATAGATCTTTTATTTGCTTTGCTAGATTGATTCCTATGTATTTCTTTTTGGGGTGGGAGGGGGAGGTGCTATTTTGAAAATTTCAGTTTCCCTAATGACTCTTTCAGGGTGTTTGTTTTTTGTGTATTGGAATGTTATTGATTTTTCAGTATTGACTTTGTATCTTGCCAAGATACTGAATTTGTTTATTAATTTTTTTTTTTTTTGGCAGACCCAGTGATTGAACTCAGGCTCTTGCGCTTGACAAAGAAGTGCTTATTCTACTGAGCCATCTCCCCTGCCCCTGTTTATTAATTCTGAGAATCTTTTGGTCTTGTTTTTGGGGACTTCCATGTATAGTATCATGCCATCTGTGATTAATGATGATTTCAACTCTTCCTTTGCCATCCTTATTCTTATTATTTTTTCTCTCTTATTAATCTGAACAAGTACTTGAAGACAGCAATGTGCAATCTAACAATAATTGTTGAAATCCTATCATCTTGCTTTTTGAAATTCTGTATCATTTCTAATATTTTAATTCTGTGTAAAATAAAAGACAGATATGACTAAAAAGAAATTGCTTATGCATGGAAAGTTTTCTAACTCAGTAATTAGTTTCCATGAAAAAGGAAAGCAAGGGATAAGTTGCAAAGCAAGGGAAGAAATCAGGTGACTCTTATCAGAAATAAGGCTAAAACACTTGGTCCTGAATTTCCAGGAGGGGTTCCTAGCAGTGGCCACTGAGGCCCTTCGTCAGAAGTAATTTAAAGCATAGTCACATTTTGAGTAAAATGTGGGTCAAACTGCATTCAACTTATAGTATTACAAGTATAGCCAATTAGCTATTATTGATCCAACAAGGAAATGTGTCATGTACCAAGGCTGTGTAGTGTCTGCATTGGTGGTATAGTGGTGAGCATAGCTGCCTTCCAAGAGTGTGCGGTAAGAACCAAGGGACCCCTGGGCAGGGATAGGTCCATATGCTCTGCTCATACACTTGGGCATCTGATCCAAATCTGGACTGATTGGACCAGATGGTGTTACACACGGTACAATTTGTAGTTATTGCTTATCCCTTGGCGGGGGGGATATGTAGCCAGACCATGTGTCTCTTTCTTCAGGTCTGGCCTTATTCAGAAGCACTACCACCCACAATTCTTAGCTTTTCATTTTTTGTTCTGACTTCCTTAAGGGCCTTCCCAGTACCTCCCTGACTGAACTCAATTTATATTTAACTTAACAGTATATAATGTTAGGTAGCTCTTGTGTCCCTTGTAAATTTAAAAACATAGACTATTAATCGCAAAGTATTTAAACTTATTTATTTTATTTTTATTTTTTCTGCATTTTAGGGAAGGGTCTACAGGGTGTTCATGGTCTCACAACTAGATCAGACCCGTAGCGATTCTCCCGTTCACAGCCTCCCAAGTGCTGGGATTACAGGGGCACGACACCATGCACAGTCCGAATTGCCATCTCTGCATGCCCCTGGGATGGGGCAGGAACAGCAGGCCCAGGGATCGAAACCCTGACCCCTGTTCCTGCTTGCAGGTGCTTTAATCTACTGAGCTATTTGGCCAGCCATAGAATATTTACATTTATTCTTCATTAATTCTTCTATTGGGCTAATAAATCATTTTATATTTGGAAAATTTTATTCTGCAATTAAAGAGTAAAGTAACATGAATAAGACTAGCCTTTCAATCTGCATTATGATTGCAGCAACATAGTAGTTTATAATCTAGATTACATTGACTTACTGCCAAACATGTAGAAATATATAGACCAGTAAACACTGTATATGGTATTCACTACTCATATTTGGTTGTGGTATTTTTATGTGCAATTAATTCAGGGTTAAAGAGAAATTGAAATATTGTATTTCAATAAATAAATACATCATATTTATTTAATTTTTGTGATAGTTAATACTTATCACAAAGATAAAATTTCCAGAATGAATTACATTAATAAGCAGTAGTTTTTACAGGTTTGATAATTTTGGGGTATAAAATATGGTTTGAAAGCTGTTACTTGCATTCATAGTCAAGATTTTTTGCCAGCACTATTTGGAAACACAAATTTGAAAACCCAGGAGATTTTAACCTGGTGATCAAAAACTCACATGTCTGTAATGAAACAGTGTTAGATTCGTTTTGGTTTTTCAGAGAAAAGATGATATACATTTGGAGCATCATTTTTGCCTAAGCTATCCAGAGTTGTTTTCCAAATTGTATATTTTGTTTCTGTCATAAAGCTTGATTCAATTCAAGTCTACATTATACTTTATGATGAGTTTTTAAAAAATTATTTTTCTTTGATATCATTTGCCATTTGTGTTTTTCAACAACTAGCACATTTTGACAAATTGTTACAATAGGGAAAAGAAATACACAAACATGCACAGAAGAACAAAAGAAAAAACATTAAGGTTTTTCTAGTATTTTTCCAAAGTAATTTTCCCCTATTTCAACCTGAATCTGTGTTTGAAGAAAATTGTCACATAAGATAGAGCGCATCTCCAGGATGAAATTATATTTTTTTCTAATTTGTTGTCATATCAAAAAATTTTATACTTAAATTCTCCAGAATACATTTCAAAAATCTGGTACTTTTAAATAAATCTATTATTTGATAGAGTTTTATAAAAGACGTATATTGTAACTTTTTTTTTCAAAATTTTATTGATAAACAGATAGCAATGAGACAGTTTCAAATCAAATCGGAATTACAGTTTCAACAAATAACACACTGCATATATTCTTCTTTGTGGTTAATTGCTGTACAAGAAGTGGACTTGAGATTCCTATTTACAAACACCACTAGAACAAATCATTCTATTCATTAAGAGAATGCAACTATACATCCATCCTAACCACTTTGAATACACAGATACAAAATGGACATTCATCTGTATACCCCATTTTTTCTAAGTTCCGTTATTGAATATTACAGGTGTGTAAACTCAGCAAAATATTCTAAAAGAGTCCAGTAGCCCATAATAGCATTGGGTCTTCTGTTTAATTGGCAATGTCAGAAATTATTGACCTGAGCCCCCACAGCTCAATATAACAGCATGGTTTTACTTCCTATATTTCGTCTTCATACTTTTCTACTGGATGGTTAAGACCAAGGTAAAGTAGGACCTGTGCAACAAGAGTTGTAGCTTTTTGGTCTGAGGAGGTCAGTGAAATGCCCTCAGGATTTATCCTGAGATCCTGTACCTCAGATTGTAGAACCTTTGTCAGTGCAGCCATGTGGATGAGTCACGGCCATTGCTTGGCCAATGTGCTCTCTGTGAAAGCCTGAGAGAGTGTTTTCTCTCCATGTGACTCTCCTTAGGCACACTCTACGTCATCGATCACTTTCCTCTTTGGCCCCATAATCTTCTTGATCAGAAAATTTGGGACACTACCGAGGTACATGACATTATAGTACAAGTTCTCATATGTCCTGAGTCTTAAATGACCTTAGAAGGCTAGGGCCAAAATGTTGGCTTTCCTTGTAGCCCTCCTTTTTCTCTAATTTTGGTCTACAAATTTAGGTTGTTAACCATCCAGAAGACAAGCTTATTATTATTATCAAACGATTTAGGCTATCAAGCTAAACCTCACTATCTCACTGCATTTCAAACATCTTAGGCATAATAAGAACAGGTATTTTTCATCAAGTATTGATATGTTGAACTTTAAGTCCCTACATAATATGATAAAAAACATTTAAAAATTATATTATATTTTAAAAATAGCATAAAGAATTCTATACCCCCACTGGCTGCTCTGAAAAGCCATCTTTGCATTGTTCCTGGACCGTCTCCTTGCTCTCTGCAGCCACCTCTGCCGCGCGCCTCCGCCGCGGTCTCCAGCAGCTGTCTCACCAGAGCCCTCGAACTCTCGCTTTCTTTTTCCGCAGCTGCACCGAACCACCAGCGTGCCCCACCATGTCAGATGCTGCCATGAACACCAGCTCCGAGATCACCACCAAGGACTTGAAGGAGAAGAAGGAGGTCGTGGAGGAGGCAGAGAACGGCAGAGACGCCCTCGAGAATGGGAACGCTAACGAGGAGAACGGCGAGCAGGAGGCCGACAACGAGGTAGATGAGGAAGAGGAGGAAGGCGGGGAGGAGGAGGAGGAGGAGGAGGAGGAGGAAGAAGGTGATGGTGAGGAAGAGGATGGAGACGAGGATGAGGAGGCAGAGGCAGCTACGGGCAAGCGGGCAGCTGAGGACGACGAGGACGACGATGTGGATACCAAGAAGCAGAAGACCGACGAGGATGACTAGACAGCAAAAAAGGAAAAGTTAACTAAAAAAATGCCACCGTGACCTATTCACCCTCCACTTCCCATCTCAGAATCTAAACGTGGTCACCTTCAAGTAGAGAGGCGTCCACCCGCCGTGGCAGCGCCACCAGCGTACACCACTCTGCACCACTGCACCACCGAAACCACACGCGAATTTGCAACAGGGAGGAAAAAGAACCAAAACTTCCAAGGCCCTGCTTTTTTTTCTTAAAAGAACTTTAAAAAGGAAAATTTGTTTGTATTTTTTATTTACATTTTATATTTTTGTACATATTGTTAGGGGTCAGCCAGTTTTGATGATCCGCGGATGACCAAACCAGCCTTCGGGGCGTCCTCTGTCCTACTTGGGACTTTACTTGTGGTGTGACCATGTTCATTATAATCTCAAAGGAGAAAAAAAACCTTGTAAAAAAAAAGCAAAAACAACAAAAAAAAAATCTTATTCCGAGCATTCCAGTAACTTTTTTTGTGTATGTACTTAGCTGTACTATAAGTATTTTGTTTGTATGAGATGGTTAAAAAGGCCAAAGATAAAAGGTTTCTTTTTTTTCCTTTTTTTGTCTATAAAGTTACTGTTTATTTATTTTATTTTTTTTTTGGCCTGTTTGATGTATGTGTGAAACAATGTTGTCCAACAATAAACCGGAATTTTATGTTGCTGAGTTGTTCTTAAAAAAAAAAAAAAGAATTCTATACTTCTCATGTTTGCACATAAGTCCAAAAATCCCACCATTTACAACCTTGAAGCAGGACAGTCCCACAATATTCCTTTTCCTGTCTCTTGCTTTCATTCACCACCCC